GCTGCAAGGAAACCTTTTCTGCCTCCTTTTCCCCAACAAACCCGCCACTCAATTTGAGGGCTAATATAAATATTAATCTCCCTTTTTCAGGAAGGATTTTTAGTGCCTGCTGGAGATCACAAAATACAGTCCAGAGGAGCATAGTATTAGGCTGAAAGAGTGGTGTGCAAAATATGATTTGAATAAAGTGATAGGGTGGTATCTAATATTTCCTTTGGGGAGTACTAGACTCTGAGCTGTCACAACAGATTGTGTAAATAGACTAGACTGAGGGATGTGATCCTAATCATATTGATGAAACATTCATCTGAAAGACTGAGTGCAACCAGAACAGACTCACCAGGAATACAATTAAATCCTAATCTGGAGAGGGGAACTAAAGATGCCACCTGGCTTCCCCCCCTGCCCAACAAAAGAGAAGGAAACTAGAAGGCACAGTGCTTGCTTCCCTCTCAGCAAAGGAAATTGAGCCTGAGTGATTTGAACACCTGAAACTAATGGATAATCCCACTGGGTGCTGTGTAGGAAGGCAATAAAAGCTACAGCCCTGATCCTGCAACTTCTACTTACACCAATGCCTAATTTTACTCATGTGATTAATCCTGCTGTCTTAAATGGGACTCCTCACATTAGTAAAAATAAGTATTTGCCTATAAACTCACAGGATTGGGCCCTGTAGGACCAGAAGGAAAGTTCCTTTCTGATTATGAACTAGCTGTCAATTTAACCCTAACCATGTAAACAGGACTCACCATTAAATGCCCTTTAGTTTCTGTGGCAATAGGAAAATGATTTGTTGCCTGTAACAATTATAAGCATTGGGTTTGCTCTCTTCTGTATAGGCTCTGATACTGTATTTGTCACCCTCATATTTATCTGTCTTTTAGTAGTGCATTACCCAGTGTTATCTGGCATCCTTTTGTTTCCCTGTCTTTTCCTGAACTACTTCAAAAGATGATGAAAATGGTTTAGCTGCTACTGTAGATGGGGCAACTCATTTTTAAATTAGTTACAGGAAGTGTGATCCATATCTGATGGAACATGACCTTGCTTATGCTTTTGCTAATGGTGCTGAAAACAGGTTTGACCTATTGACCTAGTTCCTAGCCTCTTTTTTATCATCAACAGTTGAGGGGAGGGAGAGAAAGAGAGGCATGGATCAGTGTTCACTTCCCATGCCTTGTCAGAACCTCATTCTTCCCAAAGCCAGGGAAGCTAATAATTCTGATTTTAACCAGTGGACCAAATTCAGTGATACATTCTGGTCATGTGCCACCTGAGGCATGTTGCACAGATGATAAGAAGGCCAGTTGAGGGAGGCCTTTTCCTAGTGCAAACAGAGTCTTGTGCCACCAGATATGTACACCATATTGGCATCTGACCAAAAATGGCAGAGATTTAAAGCACTGTAGCTCTCTGAAAAGTGATCCTGTTACAAATGACTTCTTACAAATAGCATCAGTTTCTCAGTCACCATGTCATGTGTGCTTAGTTTACAAGCATAATCTTTATTTTCAGAAGTAACATTCTTCCAGAGCCTCAGGTTTTGGGTGCCAACCGAACACATTTTGAGGCGGCCAGATTGTCCACATTTTCTGCATTCAGGCATCTTAAAAATGTCTCAGGCTAGCCACTCAAAAACTGAAGTTCCTCAAATTAAGTCACTCTTGAAAATATAGGGCCACTCTTTCTAATTGCCAAATCAAACCTAGTCTGGGGTTTGACAGCCTAGCTGGATTGATTCTGACTAATAGATACTCACCAGTAACAAAGATCCAGAAGGACAAATTCTGCCCTTGCTATGCCTCTTTATACTTTCAGTTGCACTGGTGTCAGTGAGGGAAAACCAGTCCCTTATAATTGGAAATTAGCTCTGTTGATGTTTGTGCAAGAGTAAAAAACAATGAACTGTCTTCCACAGAAAGAACTCTGTTGGGCTAAATTATGAAAAAAAAACATTAATTTTTATGACTGTGTAAGGTGCCAGTTTCCTGATAGAAGTATACTTAAGGGTCATCTGTGCTACAATTATTAACATGTTTATGTGAGGTAAGGGGACCCATTTACAAGCTGTGTATTCCCTGACCTACTTACAGCAAACTTTGATTTTGTAATACAAATAGGACTTCAATTGGTAAAGTTAACAAAACAGTTATTTTATTACAAAGTTTAGTAAGCTATGCCCACTGCTATGTTTATGCAAAGCAGACCCAAGCCAGAATCCTCAAATTTACGTAGGCTCCTAATTCCCATTAGGCTCTTAGTTTCTATTGATTTCAATGAGAGTTAGGAACCTAAATACCTTTGTAGTCCTTAATGTCTTATCTAAACTAAAATTGAGCATGTTGTGGGATCTGTGTAAAATGAACTTGTCTCTCAGAATAAAATCATATTTGAACACTGCTTTCTATATTAATGCTTTAATAGTGTGTGTGGTTTCAGTGGACATAGGGCAACTGAAAACCTGAACATTGTTGGTTTTTAATAGCGTGGATAGAAAGGAAATTATTGATTATCCACAGAAGGCAAAAATAACCCCTCTTTATATTTAGCCTAGGTTTATTTGTTTGACGTTTTCACAAATATCCAGCACTCTGGGTTATAATTTGGTCTGCTTGGAAACAATGCAAAACTAAAAAAGTTCACAAAAAAGAAGTGTGGATTTGTGCAGTTAAGCAGCAGTGCTGTGAACCATCTGCTAATCCCCTTGGGAGATGACAGGCAAGCACCTAGGCATATCTAAGCAAAGTAAACTAAATACATATTCTCAGTTACAATAATTTATTCTTACAAACCTCTCCTCTCGTCATCTCTCCCCGCCTCAGGAAAGATTTAAGAAGCTGAAGAGGACATTCCTATTCTAGCGAGCAACATAGCGAAAGGGACTTTTGCAGTGGAGGCTGGTGACTTCCGAATGTGGGTAGGTTGTATGGACTCGCAGGCAAATTCAAAGCCTCTTTACCTTTGAAGATTATTGTTCAAGAAGATATATATTTTTTGCTCTTAACTTCCATCCTGCAGTGAGTCTGACTTCTGCTCTGGTGCCACTGCATAGTTAGCATTTTTACTCAGTGGCAGGATCAAATGAGAGAAAAGAGAGGACAAAGTCCTATTTAACTAGAATGATCTTCTTACAAAACAAAGATGGCAAGAAAAGTCATGCTAAAACCGGCGACAGTTGAATGGATCCATTTTCAAGTACAGCAGGAACTACTAATATTTTAATTTTTTCCCCAGTTCTTCTTGAATTTAACAGATAGATCTGAGCCACAAAGCTCACATTCAAATCTGAACTTTTCTATCAGTCCATTTAACCTAATACAACAGTGTATTTTTAATGCAACAATGAAAATCCACACCTGCCAGGAGAGGAAGGATGGCCCAATAGTTTGGGCAGTAGTTTGGCACCTAGTTCAGTTCTTTGTTCTACCAACTTCCTATGTGATCTTGGGCAAATCACCTAGATTGAGATCCATTAAAGGTATTTAGGCTTCTAATGTCCAGGGAAATTAATAGAAGGAACCTTTGAGAGAAAGGGAAGCAATATTCTTCCAATCTCACAGGGATGCTGTGATGATAAATGCATTAAACTAAAGTTTAAGATGCACTCCTCATATACTGGGGCAATGGGTATCTTCAATAGATATAGTACCCTTTGCTCTTTTATTACAAGAGACAGCTCAAGTGCTTGGTTGAGCTCAACTTACATAATACCACATGAGGAGAGAAGCATTTTCTAAGGTTTTAAAAAAATGTGCATGATGTACAGATCTCCCTCTGTTTCATCTGTTACAGAAATGTAACAGGATGGTTTGAGAGTTTGTGCAATAGCCTGAATATGAATTTAGCTCTAATTTAGTGACCAGTGGAGTTGCATTACCGGAGATGGCTCCTGCATGTGGCTGCAGCAGATTTTCTGGGAGAGAGAGGGTGAGGAGGGCAGAAGATGGCAGGGAGAGTACAGCTTTTCCATTTATTTACTCTCTCACATAACAGAAGAGCCAGGGGTCACCCAGTGAAATTAACAGGCATCAGGTTTAAAACAGAAGGCAGTACTATTTCACACAATGTCCAGTCATCCTATAGAACATCTTGTTGGGATTTTATGAAGGCCATATTAAGGCTAAAAAAAGAATTAAAAGAATTTGTATTGAAGCTATCAATGGCTATTAACCAAAACAGTCAGGATGTGACCTGGTATGGGCTGCTGTCAGATGACTGGGATAGACAGACTGGTACAGAATGGCTATTATAATCTTAACTTCCACAGGGCCAGAGCTGGGACAGCGGACATGGACCCTAGGCCCATGGTTTATCCTTCAGGAGGATTCCAGAGGTGTAAGTAGAGGTCAGGGTGAGTGTTCCAGAGTATCTCCAGCCTATCCCAGTGCATTGCACTGTCTGGCCTGTTTCTGTCACCGCAAAACATTCCCTTCCACCGCGTGTACCTATTCTTCGTCTGCTCTTTTACACACATAACAGAACCCAGGCATCTTGTAGCAGATGCTTTCCAGATAGCCTCCCTCCATAGCACAGCTCACTGTATACAGTAAAGCTTCCCCTTGCTTCCTGCACCTATTACTTCTCCCAGTTACATCACAAGCCCAGTGGTTACTACCGAGGTTCTTGTAATCCCCCAACAGAAAGGCTACGTCTACACTGGCATGATCTTGCACAAGAACTCTTTTGCGGAAGAGTTCTTGTGCAAAACTCTTCCAGAAGAGAGTGTCTACACTGGCATGTGCGTTTGCGCAAGAGATGTGCTTTTGAGCAAGAGCATCCTTGCCAGTGTAGACACTCTTTTGTGCAAGAAAGCTCTGATGGCCATTTTAACCATAGGGCTTTCTTGCGCAAGAAATCCATGTTGCCTGTCTAGTTGTGCAAGAGAGCTTATTGCTGAGCGGGAGCATCAGAGTTCTTGCGCAAGAAGCACTGATTTAATACATTAGAACATCAGTTTACTTGCGCAAGAACTCGCAGCCAGTGTAGACGCAGCCTTAAAGTCTTCAGTTGCTCACAGCTGAGCCTGCAATCCTTGTCAGGGGGTAGCAATGTCAGCAATCAGGGAGCTGCTGCTAGCATTTGTGAGTCACAGAGACAGCAAAGCCCTCTTCTGCATGAGAGAAAAGAGAGCTGTGCAAGGAGGGTCTCTTGCAGGCATGAATCTAAGGGGGGCAATCTGGCAGTAACAGATGGGCACTTGCTCTCTCTCCTTTCACCTCAATGAGTTTTGAACTGCATTCCTTTCTCCTCAATGAGGTATTAATATTGTTATGCTGAGAGCTGCTAATGGCTGCTCCTGGGCAGGTATTGATGTATAGAAGCTGTTATAGATGGTATGTTACAACCACACCCAGAGATGGTTAAAGAGACTGAGTGGGTTGTTACCTCCCTCTTTAGCATGAGAGAGAAAAGGTGGCTGAGCAGAACATGTGGACAAATTCACTTTCTTTTGTCTAACCTTAAAAGCTTTCAGGTTCCTTTTTAGCACAGCAGTTGAAAGGGAGGAAAGCAGCCCAGGGCAAGGCCAGATGAGGCAGCTTCCTTGAGTATGAGCAGTTACAGAATGTCTTGCCTACAGAATTACATGGGCTCTTGCTCAGATTGCCCTTTCACTAACTTTTGTCTCCTGACCACCCACAAAACTCTCTCACCCAAGCGTAGTGGTGCTTTCAGCCTAGGCTAGCTGGCACAACATGGAGTTCTATCTGTCTGAGTTCTATTTCCTCTTGGGTAGGGAACCTTCCTCTTTGTGGTGAGGATACCGGCTCAATGTCCTCAATGCCATTGCCTACTCACAATTCCCTCATGTGTCCAGCCGGGAAAGAATAATAGAGTGGCTCGGCTTGCAGCAGTACAAGGAACCAAGCTCCCAGAAATCCTAGTGACCCAGTTGGGGGAACACAGCCCCAGTGAGGATGTGCGACTCCAGTATGCTTTGCAGACTGGATGCTCACAGTTATGATAGGCTAGCCTCAGTGTTCATCAATCCCTCAAGTTATCTCTATAGTGAACACCTATCCAGGGGAGGGTTAGCTGATTTCAACTTGCTTTTTATCACAAGAGGAGAGATGCATTTTCTAAGGTAGTAAAATCTGCACTACTTATAGATGTTCCTCTGGGTTACATAGGCTACATCTACACTGGCACATTCTCATGCAAAAACTCTTTTGCGGAAGAGTTCTTCTGCAAAAACTTCCAGAAGAGAGCGTCTACACTGGCCCTTTTGTGCAAAAGCTTTTGCGCAAAAGGGCTTTTGCCCGAACGGGAGCAGCATAGTATTTCCACAAGAAGCACTGATTTCTTACATGAGATTGTCAGTGTTCTTGCGGAAATTCAAGCAAGCACGTGCTTTTGCGGAAAAACTTGCCAGTCTAGACGCAGCCTATGTGTCAAGGTATTGCTGGTTCAAAGAAGTCAAAAGACAAATTAATGTACATACTGCCATTTGGTATGGAGGGAAATGAGACGAAAGTATGAAACCATACTATTTGCAGAACAAAAACTCATCACAGGTACAATATAATACTAAGAAAAGTGCTTTGATGAGAGGGGAGAACTGGTTTTTGAAAAAAAAAAAAGCTATGCAGCAGATGAATAGCCTGTAAAATAATTTCATTTACAATCAAATTATTTTTCTTAATGCAGAGATGATCTGATCTGTATAGTCACAGGTTAAGGATATTGCCCTCACTAATTTTCAAAAGCATCAGCATTTCTTTGTTCTTTGCTGGGTTCTGCACATCGTTGAGGCAGAACGTGACAGGTACACTAGGCGAAAACTTTGAAACTATTGATGTTCTTTGTGAAAAGACATCCAGAGCCTGCAACATCCACACATGTTTTCAGCTCCTGTAGAACAGCAGGGTTTCAGTCAAACTGTACTGGCATTTGTGCACAATCTGCAGCAACTCAGCTGCTGCTACTTCAGAAGAAGTTTGTTCTTCTCAAGATGGAGAGACAAGATTTTGACCACTACAAAAAATGCTGGGTTTGCTATGGAAGTAAGGAAAACCTGATTCACAGCTGTGTACTTCATTGCAGCCCATGCAGGTTTTCAGATAAGGAGGTTATTAGCAAATCAAGCACCATCGGCAGTTACGTCTGCTAAAGGCAAAATTGTGCCTTCACATAGGGAGATGGTGCAAAGCCTGAGTGATGAGGCCTGGAAGTAGTCTTTGAAAGGCCTAGCTTCCAGTGGTACTGGGGGAGGTGGCTTGGGAAGTGGTTCTTGTTCCACTTTTGGAAAAGTATAGTCAGTGGATCCTATTCTATAGCTCTGTTAGGTCTTAATCAATGTTCCCTCTAATCTTCTCCATCCAAGTGCAGATTTTTTCCATCAGTGTGCAGAATAAATTGTATGTGCCCTGAGGCATGTGTAGATGTGCACCACCAGTGGAAACAAAACCTTAATTGTGGACACCCTGGTAATCAGCTGGGCAGCATTTGAATTTCTTCTGAGTGGTCACACAAGCACTGAGCTTGCAGGGAACACTGGTCTTGATCCTGCAAGATGGTGAGCACTATGGCCCCAGTCCAACAAAGCATTTAAGCACTTTAGGAACATGGGTAGTTTTGGAGAAGGCAACGGGCCTACTCTTGTGTTTTTAACTGAGCACAGTTTCAGAGAGTTGCTGAATCAGGCCCAGAGTGCTGACGAGCACCTTGTAGCATGGAGCCTCTAGTGCCTGGATAAATAAGGGACTGGTCTCCTTACCCCTTATAAATCAGGGGTGGGCAACCAAGAACAGTGAGTGGGCTGCATGAGGGGCCTTCCTTCATCTCAGTGGTCTGCAGCAACCCACAGCTCACTGGGGTTCCACCTTGGCCCACAGACCCCCGGTCTGCCCCCTCACATGCCTCTCATGCACTGGTGTACTGGAGCCCCACACTTCTGCCCTTCCCTCCCAGCACCTTCAGAGCACCACAAATGGCCTGATTCATGCTCTGTCCCCACTCCTCCCCAGCTCCCCCACCCTCCCAGAGCCTGAATGCCGCAAATCAGCTCCAATGCCCCAGTGTGTGGTGTTCCAGCTCTGAGAGAGAGGGGGAGGAGCCGGGACAGAGCATGAATCAGGTGATTTGAGGTACTCCGAAAGTGCTGGTAGGAAGAGGGAGCAGTAGGATGTGTGGAGCTCCAATGCCCCAGTGCATGAGAGGTGACCGGGGGGGGGGAAGGGAACCAGACAGGATGTCTGTGGGCCACAGGTTGACTCCCGGTGCTATAGACTATATTGCGTCTCAATTACATAGCCAGAGCACAGTGCAAAGGAGCTTTAGATACCCAATGTTCATTTTTAAACACCAATGGTGTTAATTTATACAAACCCTTTCAAAATCCTTGGTCGCTTGTTTATCAAGTTCACAATCAGTAAGTTTCTTTACTGAGCTGTGAAATTTCAAAGCCATTATCATTTGTAATAACCATGGTGCACTAGCCATTTGTTTTTCCATTTTCAGCTAAAATGTGCAGCGGCTGTGTGATGGGAAACACCACGGGGCACTCTAGGATTTATTGTTTATTATAAGCCAATGTCTGATATGGTTTTTTGGGGAAAAAAAGTTAATAAGCATATACAATTTTGAAGGCAAAACAATATGCAATAATGAATGTCTTTTAGTGAAAAAAAACCCCAAAGGCACCATTATATTGAACAAACAAACTTCTTGCTATATTTTATTTTATTACCCTTAGTAAGTTTAATTTCCCTAGAAATTTAACACAATTCTATTGCAGTTGCTCTAAAAGGTTATACAATATAATTCATAGTGAATGACCACCTTTGTATGGAATTGTAAGCATTTCATAGAATCCTATACAGTTGAATAGCCCTGCTTCCAAAAGTCTTTAGGTTGGAGTAAAATTCAGTGGAAATGTTTTAATTCTCTGGTAAATTTATTCTGACTTTTCTAGAAGGGTAGGGCAGAGAACATTTCAAGTGGGAAGGTTTTTAATAGGGTCTAGTTTCATTGCAGTATATTCAGGCTTCCAAATGCTTAACTTCATGCGTGCTCCATTTCAGAGCATATTTAGCATGTTGTCTCATGGCTGTGCAAGTAAGTAATGTGTCTTCTGGGTTCAGTCCTGTTCTCACTAACAGCACAACCATTAGCAGCAACACTACCATTAATACCAAAGTTCCCAATGACTTGAGCGAGAGCCAGAGCTTGGCTTTATAGTTTTATTTTTGTGCAGAGAAGAGAATGTGTTGTTCTCACTGTACTCTTTGCTCAGTATTCCAGCCCCCTGGAAGGGAAATTCTCTCACTGATGTCCTCTGCTCTCCTCAGCTTTAAACCACATTGTTTAGCAACTGAACTTTAAGGCCTTTTTATGATTTTTCCAAAAGAGAGA